GGTGACCAAAGCTTCCGCTATTGTAGAAGCTTACTGACTGGGATGTCGTGCACTTCCGGCCATTTGGTAAAGTAATCCATAGCGATAGGATGTTACATTATATTTAATTGAAACACCTTCAGCATTTTCTGGGGTGAAACATTTGAACAAAGGACACGAGGTCCTCATTATGCGTTCGTTTCATGTATTGCATACACAGATATGCTGTAGGCGCAGCCGGAATGTATGTCAGGTATCCTATTTTTGGTACAAGAGTACAGTAAAACTTGGTTATAGCAACATCGGTTTCTGCGACACCTTGTCTATTGCGTCAAATATTCAATGGTACGAACTAATTCCTCATAAAGCAACTGTTTTTATACCTTGCTTAGTACGACATGCACAAATGCATCAACCTCGTATGTAACGTCATTTTCATTCCTGAATTTCTNCTACTGTAATTCCATGGTTGGTCTGACACATTTCCCTCTATTACTTTCTCCAGTACTGCTTTAAAAAGTCAACAGCTATAATTTAAAAATTCGGTTTAATGTTACGAAAACCTTGGAGTAGTGCTTAGGACATTGTATTCATTAGGTACTGGGTTCGAGTTTCGACCACAAGATAAACTATTCTGATATAGGATATCTCTGGTTTCCACTCACTCAAATTCTTAAATGGCCACTACTACTTCCTTTCACTCCGCTTCAGTTCGTTATACATCATCATCCTTTCATTACACTAAATAAGCTACATAAAGCACCACTAAAGCACACCAGTATACTGGAATGAATAAGTATGTTTTAGGTAAAGTTACCCTTGTCACAGGCCGTGAAGGTCTGTGGGCTACGAACACACACAGCGACATCGGTCGTACTACGTCCGTACGGTTCATGTCGCATCAAGCAGTAGAATATAAATTGTAGTCTTAGCTTTCATACTTGACATGCGACATCTACCGTACGACAATCGGAGAGCAAAGAAATGTATCTGGTCGCTCTAGTGTGAAAAGTAGGTCGTACGGCAAAATATCGTATGACATTTTTCCGTACGACCGATGTCGCTGTGTGTGTTCCTAGCCAAAGGGTTGAGGCCCCAATATTTTCTAGACAATCGGCTCACAGATGGCAGTGAGGTTGTCAGCATTAAGCGCAGACCGGCAGCACTTCGTCCCCAGGAAGATTCCTGGTACTCATTTCTGTTAGAGGCTGAGTCGACCCCAAGGCCATAGTGCAGCTGGAAGGTTAGGTCAATTGAAAAATTCAATTACGCCGTCTGGATTTAAAACCGTGACTTTCCGGCTTGTAGCATAGTGCCTCAACCAACTGCACTACCGCGTGCCCCCTGTTATAAAGTTTACTGTGCTCGATTTTTAGTAACAACGTCCGTCATCAAATTCGGTTAGAAGGTCGTGCCACGGGAGGTCGATGTGTCATCATGTATGAATGTACGAATTAGACGCGGCGTCCGTGAAAACGTTTAACGGAACCATAAAAAGTAATATACAAGCCGTACCATAGATCAGTTATTCGTTGGACAGTCACTGCAGCGGCCCTAGTTCAATCCCACGTCAGTTCATGTGGGACCTGTGATGGATGAAGTGGAACTGAGGCACCTTTTCTCCGCGTACTTCGGTCCCCGCTGCCAGTTCTTTCTACCAAATACTTAACTTTCTCACGAATGTCATCAGGGACTGATACAGTGAGTCATTTACGGCCGAAGTACCAAGGGACTCTCTCTCACCGCATCCTAAGCATATAGAACGTTAATACCTATGCAATTTTTACTTTTTGTTATTTATTTGTTACTCTGTGACTGATCGCCTAAAATATAGATCTAAATATATAGTTTCGTTTTTTGTTTTGCGGATGTGCTTGCAGGTCCCCAAAACATTTTTAGTAGATGGAAGAACTACTTCTTGAATGTACGTACATAGGGTCAGTGATGTTAGGCAGATAGAAATACATACAGCTGAGCTGTTAGTACCTGATCCTAGCACTTCTGAGGTTGAAATTGCTATTGCAAAATCGCCACGTAGTGAATCAAATCCCGGCAGAACATATTCAAGCACAGGGTGAAATACTATGTTCTAAGATCCATAAGTTAATTAAGTCTATTTGGAATAAAGGAAAAATTTCCTGATCATTGGAAAGAATCTATTATTGTATCCGTTCACAAGAAGGGTGATAACACTGCTATCAACTTCATATAAAATTTTATCTGATGCTCTTCTCTCAAGGACAAGTCCATACATAGATGAAATTATTGGGGATCATCAGTGTGGGGTATCGACGTAACAGATCAACTGCTGATCAGATCTTTTACATTCGTCAGATACTGGAGAAAAAATGGGAGTACAATGAGACAGTACATCAGCTATTAGTAGACTTCAAGCAAGCCTATGATTCAGTTAGGAGGGAAGTATTGTACAATATTCTGATAGAGTTTGGGATACCCATGAAACTAGTCAGGCTGTTTAAAATGTGTTTAAACGAACGTATCGTAAAGTCCGTATAGGTAAATATTTGTCTGATAATTTTCCTATTCAGAATGGCGTAAAACAAGGAGATGCTTTATCGCCACTCGCCGAGTCCAATTTAGCACAAAACCGGCATTTCTCCAAGAAATATATCATATGAAGCCAATGTAACTTACGTAATGAAATGTTTACTTATAAATAACCTTCTGTCTTAACATTTTTCGAACCACTCTGTACTTTCCAGTATGCATGTAATCCTCAATGTAAAGGGGGGAAAGGTAAAAATCCGATATAAAAATAACGAATCAGATGCCGCATGGACCGAATCTAGTAGTAAGAAAGTTTCTGTTATTGGATCGGTAAATCATGTCACGTGTTAGAGCGACTCTTTTCCGGGTTCTGCATTGGTAATTGGACTTACTGAACAAACAACTCGTAACTACATTTAACTATATCGCTATCTCTGATCTCCACACTTTACAGTTCACTAGAGCACACAGTCTAGTGCTCGCAGTCTGTTACTAGACGTTTCCTGGTAACGGGTTTTAACACAGCCCGCTTAAGTCCTTACCGCCTGACACACATTCTGCGACTGAACCAGACTCTACACTTGTACCAATGATAACGCCTCGTCAAGGACACAGCTCTTCTAATGTTGTAGGTCAACTCTTGCTGCAAAGGCGTGTTTATGGCGCCGTTGCATAGCAACGGTCGCGGCGCAGATCATGGAAAACACCGCTTCCAACAGTTCTTCTATTGTTTTAGTTCAGATATTGCTTGCTAATAATCTGCTTCCTAACAACGGCTGTTGTTCTGTTGCCTGTTTCGCGGTCGTTGCCTATAAACGGGTCTATACGCCAAATCTATTTCTCTAGAAACATCCCCCTGACTTTATCTCCATCGAAAGAAAAAGTAGGTCGAGCTCAAGAGTACAAAGAAGTGTTAACCACTTCCGGTGGGAAGGTTGCTTTAGCCGATCTCTAGACCTATAAACGGGAAATGAATGTGTGCTGCAATTTAAACTGCAGACACGATGTGGTAACGACTGTTTAATATTTCTGTCAAAGTTTCGAGCAGTTGCCATATAGATAATTTTCAACAAACAGTACCACTATACACACAGTTTATGCTTCCAGATCACAGTAAATCTCACCTGATATATACCAATACAGGTGTTCCACGGTTACCGCCACCAGATGGAAAATAAATACACTTTACAGATCGCTGTCGCACACAGACTAGTGTCCTCAGTCTATTATAGTCTCCACTAGCCGTTTCCTGGTAACGGATTTTAACACAGGAACTGATTTGAGTCTGAGTCTGAGTTTTATGTTATGACTGACGGTCAGCCGGCCAGTCTCTCTTGGAATAAAGCACCCATCTGGGACTCATAACCAGATTTTTATTACTGTCAGACAGTTGCGGGTTTGTTAATGTGGGGCGCTCCCTATGACAAGAGGATGGTTCTGTCGTTTACAATTGCTGCTTCACCTCGGCAGCTCAGTCGCTCTCGGGTCCGAGTCCCGTGGGACTCGCGACCATATTTTATGGTCTCAGATTCGAGACTTCAATTTTCGTCTCCTCCTACGACTCACAAGGCTACGGTGGAGATATTCGACACCGCCTTCACACGGGATTCAACTGAACTAATTTTATCTCTTGTTTATAGAAGCTCCGCCCGAACTATGAGAAGAGGCACCACGTTTCCAACAGTAACTTTATCGTTGCGTGCGTATTCTTTGCCGCGGGAACGTGTTTACCTAGCCGTTGCCGAGAAACGGTCGTTGTTTACAGTATCACTGCTTAGCAACGGGTCTATAGGCCACAGCATACATACCAAGTTTCTTAAAGTTTGGTTCGAGTATTGAAAACTTAATAGGGGGGGGGGATTTTTAGACACAAAAACAACATGGTAACGTCATGGTCCTACATTTATTTTTTCAAAATAAGAGAACTACGATAAAAATTTTGAGTGGTAGCCATGTTCATATATTTTACACCCCACAGAAACAGTATAGAACGTCTGAGAAAAAATTTAAATTCGCTAGTGGGGGGTGGAGTCCAACTGGGTCCACTCGGCACGGTGGCCATTGATTGGCCTATTGTAGCCTGCCCCGGGTGATTATGCTGATGGAGAATTTTGTGGAATGAAGACTGGTAGGGAAACTAAAGTACTCGGAGAGAACCAGCCCCAGCGCCACTTTGTCCACCACAAATCCCACTTGACCAGACCCGGGATCGAACCCGGGCCCCCGTGGTGGGAAACCAGCGACTAACCGCTTGAGCTATGGCTCGGCCTTAAACGTCTGAGAAACATACACTGAACAGAACCAAATTACTCCCATGTCGGATATTCTCATGACCACCATGTTATGACGGGAAAGTACATATTTCAGTGCTTATGGCAAGTCTTTATCCAAATCGCTCAGCTGTAAGAATTCTTGTAAAATTGCTTATTGGATGGACAGACACTCGGATACGATGATGCCAAAATCTGTATGAAATACCCTGAAAGTAGAGAAAAATTAACGTTCAAACTAACTTGAGCAAGGCAGAAGTTTGTAGGATGTTTCCTTTTCATCTCAACGGCTTGGGGTTGCTCGCTCCCTGCGCTGTGCAGCTTCCTGAGAAAAAAAAAAAAAGTTGTCGTAAATTACAGCTATATTTTTGTTTTAAAAAATCATTTTAAATTTGTTTTCATATCCAAATTATATTTGAACCCTAGCTAGAGATAGGATGAGATGGTATGGATTGGATAGATCTGGCTAAGGATAGGGACCAGTGGAGGGCTCTTGTGAACACGGTAATGAACCTTCGGGTTTCAATAAAATGCTGGGAAATTTTTGAGTAGCTGTAGAATTGGCGGCTCCTCCAGAAGGGCTCAGCTCCATGAGTAAGTAAGTAAGTAAGTAAGCAAGCTGTATAGTACTCGTAGTTACACATTAATACTGCGAATTTTTTGTCATTCTTGTTCCCCAAAAAACAACAGCAGTTTTCGGTAACTAACGTTTTAATGTATAACTTTCACTATTTGTGAAATATTTATCACTTTCCCTCTCTTCTTCAAGGCATAAAAAACATGTTAGCATTGATGTGTAGTCATACAGAGGATATATATCCGTCATTGTACAGATGCACAGAACACACTCTTATGGCCAAATAATCTGTATCTGGGGTCACGAACTTTACAGGGTGATGGACAACTGGGAGGTCTTACAGTGACCATCCTCAGAATCTACAGGGAAGAAAAAAGAGACGCGAATTAGAATGCCAGTAGCGTTCTGTCTTGCATTCTCATATCAATATATTTTTCAAAACAGAATTTTAGAAAATTTTGTCTCATAAAAAATACCTAACGAAAAATCAGACATTTTCTCACACTTCAGTTATCGTTATTTGTACCAAATTCCCTCAATTAATGACACCTGAAGACACTCTAAACATATGAAACTCCTTGACGACAGAGATTAAGTTCATAGAGCGTAAATCGTCACGCGTTTTGCCATCATCGAACAAAGAAATGATTGCGAATATATTAATATCCAGTGGGCACGGTGGGCCGAGGTGTGAAGCTGACCACTCACCTCCAACTAGTGACGAGGGCAAGAATCATAGAGTTTAATCTCCATTCTCCCATACATCTTCATAGAGTGATCCTTAATTAATTCAGCACACGGACAATTTGACCTTTGCCGTACATTATAACAGGAAGCACAGACACTACTGTGATTCGTTTCTTTCGCCTGCTTAATACTGAACACTTTAGTGTTGCGGTGACGCTATAAATTTGTATTCTGAGGGCGTCTGGTTAGAATGTCCTCGGAGGTACCGACTATCCTGTCTTAGGATCTCTCGGTTTTCCCTTGTACAGTTCCTTGAAACAGGCAAGTACCACATCGTTTAAAACCCTGCGCACCCATAATTCATGATTATCTTCAGATCTCATTCGACAATATCTACACTATGTAACCTCTGAATTTGAACAGCGTCGTTAAATAACCTAAGAACTAGCCGCTTTTTCTAACAGAACATTTTGGGGCAAGTAGATTCAAAGGGGTTCTGACGATGGTGTATAACACTAGTGATTACTGGGTTTTGGGGCTTTGTTTATCGTCCGGTATTCTACACTATACAACACAGTGTTTCGGAAACTGGATCTCCTTCTGTCCTCAGGTACTAGGGTGGGAGAAACCTAGTCTGTTGGGTCTGTCAGAAAGAGCTAACCTCAATTACTGGACCTGTTAAATCTATCTAGGTTATCCAACATTGTAGATGTTTCCTACCCCTCACCTGAAGATGGAAATAGATCCATCTTCCGAAATACTGCTTTCTAATGTTTTCTAGAATATCGGACGATAAACAAAGTCCAAAGACTCAGTAATCCTGAGCATTTTGGAGCAACTGGAAAGAATTCTATATCAGTCTTTGTTCTGGGTCCACATGCTAGCTGTTCCACTTGTAGGCATCTAACTAAACTTGCGTGCGTCTGAACCCAGGTGAAGACTTATTCCTACTGGCCTACTGACTTCCATGATGTCGTGATCGTCATGATAAGGGACCCGTAAGCGAGCTTGGCACGGTTCCACGAGTTTCTCTCACGTCCGGTTTCTGAGGTTGAGACTAGCGATTAGTTCCTGGTGAGTGCTTGCTATCAGTAATCTGTTTTATTCATTATTTCAGGTTCAATTAACGACGGTTTCTGTAGCTCGGACTGCACAGTCTTGAATTGTATTGTGGCGTATATACCCGTTGCTAAGCGGTGACTCTGTAAACAGCAACCGTTGTTATGCAATAAGCGAACAAACAAACACCCGTTTCTATGCAACCGTCGAGGTATTGTTGGACTGTAAGAATTAAACGGTGTTTTCTGTGTGGTCCGTGCTGAAATTTTATAAGCAAGACAGTTTGAAGCAACGAGTTGGTTGATTTGTTGGTTGCTTGGTTAGTTAGTTAGTCAGTCAGTTACCTAATGTGTAGGCGGGTGTGAATACTTCCACCGTAGCCCTGCGAGTGGTAGGAGGCGACGAAAATGGAAGCAAGTGCCTGAGGGTATAACTGGGCCACCCTGTTCCTGGGGGATATAAAGACGGGGACCTGGCCTTCCAGGCTGGGGAAGTCTCGAATCTACGACAGTAAAATATGATCATGATTCCCGCTTGACTCGGACCCAAGAATGACTGCTCTATCGAGGACTAGCAGTAACTGTAGACGACGGACCAATCCCCTCATCAGGTTGGGGGACTCTGGAGTCTGAAACAGCAAAACATGGTCATGGGTCCCGCGGGACTCGGACCCGAAAGTGAATGCGCTGGCGAGGGCCAGCAGCGATTGTGAACGACGTACCCATCCTCTAGTCAGAGAGGATGTTACATAAGAATTATAACCTCAAGTGTTCAGCTGGAAAAAAACTACTGGTCGTGGGTCTCAAGGGGCTTGACGCTAAGAAGAACTGGTTTGCGGTAAACTGTCAGTCGTGAAGTAACTCTAACCCTGATAACGAATTTGTTGATAGTCAGAGTTGTCATGGGTTCAGTTGAGTGAAGTAAAGTGAAGTAGTGGTAGATGAGTTCAGTTGTCAGTTGAAAGTGAGCCTGTGAAGAGAAGACTAGGAGGTTGGTGTGGAATGACCGCCAGCCTGGTACCCAGATAGTTGAGTTGACAGTTGACAAGAGTTCTGCACGGGCGGCTGTTGCCAAGAGGACCTGAGTGCAGGAAGCTGAAGAATCTCCACTGTGTTAAATCTGTTGTCAGGAAACGGCTAGTGGACATTGTGATAGACTGAGGTCACAGAGACAACTTTACCTCCCCCCCCCCTTTAAGAACAGTCTTACGGATCGCCCTACAGCTGTAGGCCTCTGTATTGAAACGTACATGGCACGACACATTTAAAAACCATTTTAATTTTTGGTATTACTGCTCGGTATATTTGCCTCGTTAAACTTTCCCCAAAAGCCCACCGGGGGAAGGGGAAGATGCCTGGCTTGCCTTTCCCTCCAACTTCCGGCACCCATAGGAACAAAGCGGTCATGCCGGCACTATCTTGGCATTTACCTGGACTGACTGAGAAAACATAGCAGAACCTCAGTTTGGACTGCCGACTCCGGACCTAGATATGAACCCGGGACATCATGAATACGAATCAGGTGTGTTACGGTGACAGTCGGAGCACCAGTCTGCTTTTACCGGTTCTCACGGTCTCTTCGTTTGCAGATTTCTTATATTTTTTCTTCTACCCTGAAGATGGAGGCGATACGTTCCTCCGAAACGTCGGTTAACACCACATATACACGGTGCCAAATCCCAGAAGACTGCATTCTTCATAGAATATTGGCGTTCGAGAGCCTGGATGTGCCAGTCGGCTTTCTGTTTCTGCTGTAACAGATTTCATCAACGCGTCGCCAGGTAACAGCTCTGTAAACACGGCCCAACACGCAGTAATAGATGGGGCTGTGTTTTCTATGTCGTTCGCGCCAAGCAGCGGTGGAACAACGGGGAAATGCAACCCGTTCCTAAACAACGGTTCGGTAAACACACTTCCGCGTAGGCAGTGACGTCACACAAAAGTCGATATGGACCACGTGACGTATTTCTGTGTGGTCCGTGCCGCTGCTAAGATTCCCAGAATAACCGAGGGAGTGATAGAATTCGTTTAGGGCCGTTACGAGACAGTTTTCGGTAGGAGAGCGCCACGGGAAGTTCGCAGTTGAAGAGAAATTAGAAGTCCACCTGTTAAGGCTTAAAGTGTGAATTGAAGAATTTAGGCGTGCTGTAGTGCAGTGATATTTGGAGTGTGACATTTATAGTTCCTGTAATAAAATCCGCTGCCAGGAAACGGATAGAGAAAATTTTGCAGAGGACTAGCCATTGTTTAAATCTGTTACCTAGCAGCGACTAGTGCAAGCAGATATAGAAGACTTTATTTACGTGTTATAATTACTGTAATCTTGAAAGTGCCATGATTATTTGTAGTTACAACTAATGAATATCCAATAAATCAACTCAGCGATCGAAACCCGCGTCTTTAATCACTAACACACCTGTCAATGCTATCGATACCGAAGTGGCCAGCTGGTGTGATGTAAAATTATACACAGTTCCACGAAGTATGGACGATATACATAAAGTTAAAGTAAGAAAATGGCAAAACCCGCGTTATCTGAGACTGGGTGTCGGCACATTTTAAAATAACATAATTTCTTAGAAAACTAGAAATAAGGGACCGAAACTTCTCAAAACTATGCTTTATAAAATATAAAAACAACGCAAGCCTACATCCTGAATACATCGTCCAAGATGTGGTATCAAAATCGCGACTGTTTGAGATAAATATTATAAGAAAAATTAAAAAAAAAAAAAGCCCTAAAACGCTAACCGCTTGAGGTAGAAACGTGGGGATTGCTCCTACACACACAGAAAAACGTGAACCTTCACTTGAGTACGAGGTGTATCTGAGTTCACGTAAAGTTTGTCCGAGCCCACATGATATTTTGTATTGAAACTTACAGCGGTTGACTTCAACAGGGCAACACAGCACGTCTCTTACTGGCTAGTGCGGTATCCGCGGATACGCCTCCAACGTCAAGAGATGACGAATTTTGCTATAGTTTTGCATGAATGCTGTGACCGTCTGACCGACTGCACGAAAATCTGAAAATTTTGATGACATGTGGTATTTAGGTATAATTGTACTGATCAAATATATCACAAATGGGACCCTCTACACAACAATATATCTACGGATGTAAACACAGACGATCGATACCAGTGTATCATTATCCTTTCATTGTGCAAAGATGTTCAGCTACATATTTCGACCTTCAACAGGTCATTATCAGGCGTACTTACAATAATTCACTCTTAGTCCTTGAGTTATATTTTAATATGGATCCATACTACTATACTTCTTTTTTTTTTTTNCAAGAGGTTAGTCGCTGGTTTCCCACCGCGGCGGCCCGGGTTCGATCCCGGGTCTAGTCAAGTGAGATTTCTGGTGGACAAAGTGGCGCTGGGACGGGGTTTCTCCGAGTACTTTGGTTTCCTCTGCCAATCTTCATTCCACCAAATTCTCCAGCATCATAATCACCCGGGGCAGGCTACAATATGCCAATTAGTGGCGGCCGTGCCGAGTGGACCCAGTTGGACTCCACACCCCACTAAGCGAATTAAAAAAAAAAACTACTCGAGTTACACTTGGTACATAGAGTTGGTTTTAAGATAAGCTTAGATTTAGGAGTAGCTTGGGGGGTTTTATCGTAGTTATATAATCAATTGTTGGTCTAATTTCTGTCCAGAACATTTCTTTCTTCTTGGATATCCTTCTATTTTTCACACCTTTTGTTGTTTCTGTCATCAAATAATAAGCAGGAGAGAAAGGGAATGTCTACCCGATTTTATCTGCATATTAACTTCATATCACGGTGGCTAGACCTTCTGTAATTAGTCAGTGACATTTTCCCATGCAGATCTGACTGCTATGCCACCAGAGTCTCGCTTGTGGAAAATCTGTATACCCTGTGAGTCCGAGGTTGCTGGTATTGAAATATGGATGGCTTTACATTGCGCAGTGTGTCCCTTGCTTGACAGTGACACAGAATACCATTCGTGTGTTTCAGAAGAAAGTGACAGCTGTAGAACACCTGACAACAAACAAGGACAATGCATCGACTTAAAGAGCTGTCCCGTTCTCTTATCTCTGCTCACAATGACGCGACCCTTGCCATCTGAAGTTATTGACTTCCTGCGAAATTCTCAGTGCGGGTTCAAAGGTAGCAGCCCGTTGGTGTGCTGCCCACTGCCCACTCCGTCCACAACAGAGGCCCCTAAGCCAATTGTGGAAGAACCACCTGACGTGTCCAGTCATCCTAACTTAAGACTTCTTCCTCTGAATATCTGTGGTCCTGTTTCTGCTAACAAGATCATCAATGGAAACAGAACAGCACTTTTCCAATATCCATGGATGGCACTCATTCGGTACAACAAGGGTAATTAATATCACATATTATTGCAACTGATTTAATTCTTATATCTGTTACATATGTAAATGTATCTATGAATGAATATTACAACTTATCCGACTACGCATGAATGCGTGTGCATTTGCAAGGTGTTTTTTTTTTGGCAGCAGAAATCAGTGCCAAAACCTTTCGCATAAGAACACAGAAAAGAACTGAAATTTATTATTAAAATGGGCAGATGACAAACAACGAAATAAGTAACATAATTTATCTCAGTATAAGTCTACGATATGGACAGTCAGGGTTCGATTCCCGGCAGGGGCAAGAGATTTTTATCTAATCCACAGTGACCAGATCAGCTGTAGGCCCACCGATCTCCCTGATAAATGGGGACCGAGGGCTCTTTCCCTGGGGATGAAGCGGTCAGGGTGTGAAGCTCACCACTATCTTCTATCTAGTGCCATGATCAAAAATTGTTGAGCTATACCTTCACTCCCCCATTCTCTTTCATGGCGTGGTTCTTAATTATGCACAAGGATAGTCACCATTTTCGTTACTGTTTATCAGAATAAAAAATTTTCTGTCAGCCTCCCCACATGGGTGATGAGTACCAGCAATCATTTTTCTAGAAGAAAATTACTGTTATGTGTGTTTGTGGCAATGGCGGTGGTGGTGGTAGTAGTAGTAGTAGTAGTAGTAGTAGTAGTAGTAGTAGTAGTAGCAGCAGCAGCAGCAGCAGCAGCAGCAGCTGAGAGATGTCAACAAAACACTTTATTATAAACCGATATTAAAGAGTTTAATAGTCTTGTCACTTTATTTACATCCCATTACATGTTTCGATCTGCAAAGGTCATCATCAGGTGTTTCAGGAATACATTGTGTCGTTACTGAACTACCAAAATGGAATCACTTTTGCATTTACAAATAATATTACAACATATAGTTTAATTTTTAATGTATATCTCGAAGTTTCTGCGTAAAACATGACCAATCCAATTAGCCTTACGAAATAAGAAAACGGAAGGCTAATTGGATTGGTCATGTTTTACGCAGAAACTGCCTTCTAAAAGAAGTTATCGAAGGAAAGACAGAGGGGCGGATAGAAGTGACAAGAAGACGTAAGAAGATGCTGGATGACCTTGGGGACAGAAGAGGATACTGTCATTTGAAGGAGAAAGCTCTAGATCGCATTAAATGGAGGAATTGTTTTGGAAGAGACTGTGGACCTGTCGTCTTGACAGATTACTGATGATGATGATCTCGAATAATGTGTTATAAGGTGATAGATGCTAAATGTGCTAACAATTAAAATCTAGTAGTTTAAATAAATTATATAAAATCTAATTTTAATTTTAAAATGGGGGAAGGCTGTGTGTTTATGAGCTTCGTAGTTTTCGATGTTCTCAGACGCGCGAAACGTTCTTCTGTTGTGTGGCCGTGCCTGATCGGCATACAATGCGCGTGATGTTGAGTGAACACTCATATCCGCACACTTACTTCAGTATTCTCCCAATACTCAGCCACACACAAGGTACATCATTATAACCAACTCGGCAGCCCGTACCAAAGCTGAGAACCCCATACAGAGAGCTTCCTATATACACATCAGGTATATTTAATATGTACGGCAACTCTACAGGGCACAAAAACCACAGTCACCCATAATTTCACGCATACCATGTGCCTATCGGTCACGTTCACGCACCAAAAGAACGTTTGGGGCACCTAAAAACATCGATAACTACGAAGGTCATCCATAAAAGACAAGAATCAGTATAATAAACACACCACCCTTCCAATTTTAAAATTAAAATTAAATGTTTATCTGACTTATTTAAACTAATGGATTTTAACGTTTAGCACATTATAACACATTATTCGAGATATTCACTAAAACTTAAAATTAAAACTTAGATTATAATATTACTGGCAAATTTAAAAAACAGATTCATTTTGATAATTCAATAAGGACATATGTATTCATAAACCACTGATCATGAACTTTGCAGACCGAAATATGTAGTGGGGTGTGAATAAAATAACCCGAATATTGCACATTTTAGTGTTCGTTTATAATGAATTTTTGTGTTGACGGCTCTCTATCATACACAATGCACAACAGGAAGCAGAAATAAAGTTTGTTTTAATTATTGTAATAGTTGTAATAGTAGATAGGTGTTTGCTGATGATTGTTGGTACGTCCTTCAAACCTGTTATCATTAAGGCAGATTACGATGGAGTTTAAAGCAAATATGCACTGTTCCTTCTAGGAGGAAACAGCGCGCCCATGTTCTTGTGTGGAGGCACTGTAATCAACGAGAAGTATGTCCTGACAGCAGCTCACTGCATCGTAGAATTACCGAGTACTCTGAAGCTGTAAGTCTTTTATGTTCTTTGCATAGTTAAGAAAAAAAAACCATACCTGGAGGTCACGTCTGTCCGTTCATCTGTCTGCGACCTAGTATCAGCGACTATACCGCAGGGCAAATTTTTTTCAAATTTGAAATTGGATGCTTATGCCAACAATTGTTGGGCAGTTCTAATTTTCTGGCATATTGCTCTATAATAAAACCTGGTTTGTGTTAGCCATAAATAAACTTTTCTTCATATATCACAAAGTATAATCAGTATAGTGACTGGTTATGGGCTGGACGAGAGAGGGATCGGAGTTTGAGTCCCCCTTACGCCTTCATGGCATAGTGCTTACTTAGTGAAGCATAGGGACAACTTTAACTTCTACCTTTATCACAGCACATTTCTGTCGGAAGTTGTTTGGAAATTTTGGTATTCACATGTACTGACCCTAATAAAGCCTGGTTTACATAAGGGCATAAATAAAAATTTCCATGTATTCCATAAACCATAAGATTTCCTTGAAATCTGATATTGGAGACTTCCATTGAGTCATTGGGAAATTCCAGTTTTCAGCAGTGTTGATCCATATGGAGCATGGTTTACAGGTTAACATGAATGTACTTCGCACATATCCGATAAATCTTTTCACAGATATTGATGAGATTCGATATAGGAGCCTGCCATCAAACCCTGTAGGATGTATTAGATTTCCAGCCACATTAATCCATAATAAAGCCTACTTTACATAAGGTTATTCATGGACATTTCCGTGTGTCCCATAAGGCATTTCACAGACCTTACTGAAGTTTGATATGGGATAATTCCACCAAAAATTACCACACAATTCTAGTTTTTGGCCATACAGACCCATAATTTACACAGGGCCAAAAATGTAAATTTCAGACTTTCCATATATCCTTAGAGAGATTTTGTTTAAATTCAGTATGAAGACACATTAATTTCTATTTCATTATTCCCATTTTTAACTAAGCTTAATAAACATCAAATTATGCCATTGGTATGTAGTTCTGCACACTACATTATGGAGCACACCCTTTTCAGTCTTGTTTCTCTTTCCCAGAGAAACCAGATATCAAACCATTTGCTCAGAAACCTGACCGGTGCAGTATACATATGCACACAAGCCCAAATACTTGTAATAACCTAAAGAGAAAGATATATGTAGCACTGTAAAATGTGTCTTTGTATTCTGTTCATAATGTAATGCAAGGTCCCCAGATTATGTCCATCTAACTCCATGGTGCAGGGACTTCCTTGGAAAGTTCACAGCAGCCCAGAAGTCAATAAATTATCCACATTTATTGATCCTTAAGACTCATTACCAGCTTTAAGAAGCCCACTACTGTACCTTGCCTTTAGAAGAATATTTATACCCTCTGTTCCTTGACATTCATTGGCCAAGCTAGATAAAGCAGTACTACTTCTGGCTTGTATTCTGGAGGTTACCGATTCAAATCTCTTCCAGGAAACCAACTACCCTGATATTTGTCATGGTTTTCATCAATACTTCAAATTGGGCCATGACTACTTCTTGCCACATCTTTTCCAATTCATTATTCACTAATGATCCTAGTACCTGACGCTGTGTAGTCAGAAATATTGAAGGTATCATTAAATAAACCATTTTAATATTAACTTTCCATATATGACTAAAAACCGTCTCTGTCGTCTAGTGGTCAGAGTTCCTGGCTACAGACCCATTCCAGGCGCTACCAGATTTTCTGAGAAGTTGTGGGTCTAGAACAGGGTCCACTGAGCCTCCTGATAACTGAGGAGCTATTTCAAGGCCATAACAGCTAGAGCCTATAATACAGAGATTAACGGCCGTGGGGATCCGTGGCGCTGACCACATGACACCCTCTATCCACAAAAGTTAGCACTAACTTCACTCACAAACAGAGGTTGCTCAGTCGGTACAGTTCCCTTGTGGACTACAGGCCACGGAGTTTGTTTTGTTTATATGACTAAGTCTAATATTAAGATGGATCTTAAAGAGATAGGATGGGATGGTAAAGTCTGGATTGATCTGGCTCAAGATAAGGGCCAGTGAAGGGCTCTTGTGAACATGTAATGAAACTTATGGTTTCATAAAATTTTGGGAAATTCTTGAATAGCTGCGCAACTGACAGCTTGTCAAGAAGGGCTCAGCTGCATGGATTTAGTTTATATGACCAAGACCCTCAAGTTGGCTGTCTCCTACATTTGTACCATATTTTCTCATGCTTTCCTCCTTGATTTTATCACCTTATATGAAGAATACAAATTATATGTTCCTTGTTATGTAGTGTTTCTTCATTCTGCTGTTGTGATTATGACATCTCTGCAGTGCTTTGAGTGGAAGCAGTAAAACATCAGTGATTTATTTGCAGGACACTTTCATATCATGCGCTTCAATTTCATCTTGAGTCATATGGGAGGGATCAACGTATCAGCATTTAAATTAAAGTAGTTTAACTAACTCTGTGCTGCAAAGACCTTCTTGAGAAACTGATAGTCACCCAGCTGGTTAAGAAACTCCATCTTCTATGAAATCTGGAAATCAATGACATGTTCAAAAGAGACAGCCACTGGGACCTATCCTGAGCCAGATGAATCCAGTCCACCCTTTTTTTTAAGATCATATTATTATTATTATCTACAAGGCTTCATTCTATTGACCTGTTCTGATCCAAATTTATCTCAAGTTATCTTTCCATTTATTTGAATATCTTCTCTTCATTTTGTTCCTTGTAATTTGGTATTCCCTGTGAAATTTGTTCTGTCACTCTTTTTTTAATTTCCTTGGTGGGGGATGAAGTCCAGTTGAGTACACCTGGCACGGCGGACACTGATTGGCCTATTGTAGCCTGCCCCAGGTGATTATGATGGAGAATTTGGTGGAATGAAGATTGACAGGGGAAACCGAAATACTCAGAGAAAACCCGCCCCAGCACCATTTTGTCCACCACAAATCCCACTTGACCAGACCCTGGATCGAACCTNGGCGCTACCAGATTTTCTGAGAAGTTGTGGGTCTAGAACAGGGTCCACTCAGCCTCCTGATAACTGAGGAGCTATTTCAAGGCCATAACAGCTAGAGCCTATAATACAGAGATTAACGGCCGTGGGGATCCGTGGCGCTGACCACATGACACCCTCTATCCACAAAAGTTAGCACTAACTTCACTCACAAACAAAGGTTGCTCAGTCGGTACAGTTCCCTTGTGGACTACAGGCCACGGAGTTTGTTTTGTTTATATGACTAAGTCTAATATTAAGATGGATCTTAAAGAGATAGGATGGGGTGGTAAAGTCTGGATTGATCTGGCTCAAGATAAGGACCAGTGAAGGGCTCTTGTGAACATGTAATGAAACTTATGGTTTCATAAAATTTTGGGAAATTCTTGAATAGCTGCGCAACTGACAGCTTGTCAAGAAGGGCTCAGCTGCATGGATTTAGTTTATATGACCAAGACCCTCAAGTTGGCTGTCTCCTACATTTGTACCATATTTTCTCATGCTTTCCTCCTTGATTTTATCACCTTATAGAATATTATCCAAGGTCCCTGTATATTTGTACATAGTAATTCAGTATGACACTCGACTTTATCACCAGGTTCTGTAAAAATTATTCATTAATATCTTTACAATGCCGTGTACATTGGGAACTAACAGCATATTTTTACATTTTGGTTGTGTCCTTGTGATCATTTCAGAACTGGTGTTCGGCTAGGTGAATATGATATAGACTCTGATATTGACTGCATGAATGAAGATGGAGAAGAAGTGTGTGCTGAGACCCATGTAGACGTTGATATTGAAGAATCAATTTCACATCCCAAATACTCTCTCTCCCATCTTCACAATGATATAGGGCTTATCCGGATTAAAGGCACCGCAAACTTCAGATCAGGTGAGTGTCACTCTATCTGTTTGTCTGTTTGTCTGTATGAAATAACTCAAAAACCTTGGAATGGACTTCATGAAATTTGATATTGAGAGTTTCACTAAAATGTGTCAATACGTTTCTGTTTTGGTTAAAATCAGATAGAAAAATTGAACATTTTATATGAAGACCTACATACTATTCAGAGAATATCTTGTTCATAATTCTTTAAATACTTTCCAGGGTGAAAAATATTCCTGACCAAAGTCTTAGAGAACGAATTACTTATTTCATGAAGAAAATGTATCTCCCATTAGTCTTGCAGTTCTCAGGAAAATTAGACAACTGGGACACTATGCATACATTTTAACTTGTGTTTTAAAAAATAAGCCGTGGTATCTCATATACACCCAGAGATTACTCAAGTTTCTCACTGACAACAGTAATTAAACAAAGTTTCCTCCCATACGCATTTGTAGGCTTACA